TTCACAAAAAAAAAAAAAAAAAAAAAAATAAATAAAAAAAAAAAAAAATACATAGTAAAATTAATACCTTCTCAGCTTCGCATCGAAGCTAAAAATCATGTTGAGTAAAAAAAATTACTTATTTCCTCATAAAATAAAATACATTGCAATCAATGCCGCGCCGACACAAGGGTCAAGCAAAATACATGCTCCTAGCCTTGTAAATACCAGTGGTGTACTTAGGGTTTTATTTAGAAAAAACTTTTATTACTTCATCCAATCAAAGAAGAATTATATCTTCATAATTTAATATATATATATATATACATACATATTAACAATATCACAAATAGGTCTAGTGGTAAAGTTAGTGTCTACGACGTTATGAGTCTAGTTGTGGTTGTGGGAAACAGAATAGATTCCCTTTTTATCAAAATTAATGACACGTTTTTATAAAATTGTCTATGTATTCTATTATAGACAAATTTATGTAGTAATTTAACGTATTAGAAGATAATATAAACTAGATAGAATTTTTATTGACTATTCTTGAAAGTTTAGAGCGTTTTGTCTATCTCACAATCGTTTTTTTTTAATTTTATGAATTTACATAACATAAAAAAATTTATTTATTGAACGGAATTTATCTCACCAAAACTTTTTATTTTCTAGCACAGGGCTATTAAAAGCTAGCACTAGAACACTGGCTTAGTATTAATAAAATATTAAAATATTGTCAAGTGTGATATCCCTTATGCACTTCACTTAGGACGGTCCTGTCGGCACTGATTGCAATTTGAAAATACAGTAGAATTTGAATAAATCAAAGCTCAAGGGAAATTATTTTTTTCAACTTATTGCGGATTTCAAATTAATAAGGTTTTGGATTATCAAGAGAAAAAATTTGACTTAACACTTTTTATGAACTTATTAAATTAATTTATTTATTTACCCCGCTATCCATAAACAAATAACTAATCAATCTGAATTGAAATACCAAAATTGATGAATTTTTGTATTTAGTTCTATAGTTAACACAATAGCTTTTAAATATAAATTAATTACTTTGATTAGTTTAATTTATCACAGTCAATTATTTTAGATAAACTTTCAAATATAATTTATTAATTGTAACGATATAAAAATAAAATAATTAATAATTAATATGTTACATTGAATCACTATATTTATATCATAATTAAATAATGTTAACTTATAATTAATATACAAAAACGTTCAATAACGAGAGTTTGTATACAGATGTTGACTTAATTTAATACTTAATTCAGTGTTCTAAGGTTATATTAAGGCTTATTGAATAATGAACAAGAATTTTTATTGGAGCATGATTGTAGTACCGCGAGAATTAGTAATTAACTCAATTTAGTTTATGAGGTTATGCTACAACTTTTAATACGTATCTATCAACAAATATAAAGATATCTTTATGTAAGCAATGATAATGATAGCATTATTGTATTATTAGATTATTTTAAGGATCATTATACTAAACAAAGGGTTAGGTTTTTTAAAGACATTGATTCTTCAGTATTACAGTTCGTCTTACAAACTGATAGACTATGCTATTAATTATAATAAAAACAATTAATAATATAGTAAAGACGCGATTTGAATCTATTACTATTATTATAATAATAGATAATTATCGCTTAATTAGTATGTCATAAATTATTTTTGCTATCTAACTTAATAAAAATTAGTTTATACTACACCATAGATAATAAGTGACTTCTGTATCCTTAACATTATAATAACAATAGAAATTTAGTCCAAAATCATTTAACTTAAACAAGCTGTAACAGACGAACGTTTGATCAGAAAAAAAAATTATAAGAGTAAAGTTGTTTGCATTTTTATCTTGAATCATAATAACAAATTCAAAATAGGGCTCCAATCTAAGAAAATTCAAAATTATGTTTTTTAACTTTAAAGGGATGAAAAAAATCATGTTTTTACTTCATATTATTGTAGTTTTTTTAATCAAACAATATATTTCTAACCAAAAATTTAAAATGTTTAATAGTTACCGAGAAAATTAGTGTCTTATCATTAATGAATCACTCTGCATATTTATTTATAAATTAAAAAAAAATGACTGGTATGTCAACTTTTGACTAATATTTTGAAAGTTATAACAATTATTAAAATTATAACTTTTTTTCTATTTTACCTCAGTATTTCTGCACTCTGTATTAAAAACAAAATTAATTAAAAAATTATTTTAATCAGTCATTTTTATTTTATTAATTTGATGAATACGTATGTTAAAAATTTAAGTTAATATTCTTATAAGGTATAAGAATTGAATAAAAAAAGTAATTATAATTAATAAATCGAGAAATGTATAAAATTAAAAAATATCATAAAGAATTTGTTTAATATAATTATTATTAAAGAGAAATCGAGTATGCAACAACTTACAAATTATATAATTTTTCCGTAAAAATTACAATACTACATTGTAAATATACATTTCATACTAAATGTAATTATTAAGATTAATATTTATTCATATATTATACTCATAAATCAAAGAACCTCTAGTCAGAATATAATTAAGGAAATAGAAGTTGATATTTCTGTTGGAATAACTTAACAATTTTTTCAAAAAATTAAACACTATCAACAGTTTTACATTGATGCGATTTTATGATAGTTATTTTAATCTCTGAAATTTGTCTAAACTATGTCTAACCATGTCCCCAATGTACCACGACCCCACTGTGCTGGATTTTTTTAAAGTAAAAATGAAATTTAAAACTTTATTAGTAGAAATGTATAAAATATGAAAGAATCAAGGAGTTATGAAGTTATACAGCAGTCATTATAAAAACTATTTTAATCATCTCACATTAAATGTTGTATGGCAAATAATCAATCATGTAAAGAGGTTTATAAGTTGATTGATTTTCAAAGGAATCGTTCGTATTAATTTCATTTTCATCATGGTCATCTTTTACATCTTCTAAGTTAAATGTTGTAATAATCTTCCAATAGTAATAATAATCTTCATTTACATCATCCACGTCTTCATAATGTCCTATATCAATTTTATTACTATATTTCTCACTAGCATTATATATTTCAGAATGCGCTTCAGTATTACAAATATAATCTGAAATAATATAAAGAATGATTTAATCAAATGAACGAAATTTTAAAAGAACTACATTTTCACTTACCTAAAACTTTAGAATCAATAAAATTATTATAATTTGAAACACTGAAAGACCGAATTTTAAATTTTCTTGCAATAAAATTAAAATAGTAATTCCATTTTTTTAAATCAAACAGATAGATAACAACTTTTTGCATGATTTTTTCTAATTGATTTTTAATATCATCGGCATTATTTTCAGTAATATTTTCCTTGGTTAAAACTATATCGGGTGTAAAGTATAATTTGTTTTTGATGAAGAATTGTGAAAGTAATTCAATTAATATATTAATATTTTTATTATCAATATTGGACAAGTCTTTTATTATAGTATAAAAGTTTAAGATTTGAATAAATCTACTAGAGATACTTTCTAGAAATATTGTTCGTTCCTCATTAAACACACTAAGGGAAATGAATTCTATTAGATAATTTATTATTTTTCGACCCATTTTAATTAATGTCGATTTTAACCAGTATGTTACACTATCTGAATTCTCTGAAAATGTAACTTGAATTAAGGTTAAAAAGTTACGAATAAGAATTGCTATTGGACGAAACGTAGCCACAATTACCATCTTTATGTATGGTAAAACATCCTTAGAATTAAAATCATATTTTATGTATTCAAATACGTCTTGTATAGTTAAACGAGTACCATCAGTGCATTTTACGTTTAGTGGAGTAAATCGGAGTAAATTTAATACTATGTGTTGACCATTATCTATTTTTATAATATTATTTTCATTGTTGAGAATTTGTTGAGTCATTATATCGTAAAACAAAATATATTTCGGATGATAATATTCGTATGAATTTCTTTTTATTGTTAAATTAAACTTCATCAGTATTCTATCCTTAAGATTATTATTAATAGTTATTAGATTAGTAGTAGTATATTGGTTTTGAAATATAAAAGGATTGCAACTCACCACATTTTCATAAAATAATTTGTTTTTACAATATTGATTAATGTAATCTCTTAGTTGTTCTTTAACTGCGTGATGAATTACCTTATAGCCTTCTAATAATTTTTCAGCATCATTTTTTTTATCATCTTCGTTTAGAGTAATCATATTTAAAGATCCAGAAACATTATTTAAATACATATTTACCGTCATTAAAGTATAAGGAAAATTACCTATATTATTGTTTATCAAGTCATCCAAAAATATCATAATTACTTTGCTGTGTGTTTGAAGTGCCTTGCCATAGTTCATAACATTTTCGATAGTTATATAGTCTTTATTATTTTCGAATTCTAACAAAAATCTTTCATTATGGTTAAAAAAGTTTAGAAAATAACGAGTATGGGAGCACTGTAAATAGTTTGTGTAACCACATGAGAACACATATAAGTACATCATAAAAGTCAAATATAACAACAATTTCATGTTGCCACTTATTTTGTTAATTTCATATTCTAATGAGTTGAATTTGAAAAGAAAATCGACACTAATTGTGAAAGGTTGTTGAGTATGATTTATATGAATTTTCTTCTACCTTATTTGATGATTAGTCTTTGGGAAAAAATTTTTTTTAAGTAAACGTGTTTATCATACAATAAATTTACTTAATTGTTCAAATGACGTAATTATTAAATATATATACATATAAAGTTAAATTAAAAAACTGAAATCGTATTTTGAGCTCTGTCAATAACTGTTATTTTACAATTATATTTAATATATTTTACAATTTTTAATATCCTTAAAATTTGTTTAATGATAACTAACACAAATAATAAATGTCACGCACACACACAGTCATATATAACTAGTAACAAATTGTGATAAAGCTTTTTCATCATTTTCTAATAAAATAAAATAATTTTAAGTTCATTGCTCTATTTATTAACTCATAGCTGTATTTATAATCTTTTGATCTTACATTGTAAGTTGTTCCAGTGTCAAAATTCTTGTTCCAATTTATAATACGAAGATAGTAGGTGTATAAAGTCTTAGCTGGATATCTTCCTAACCCACATCATGTTGGTTACCTTGCTATAGGTTGAAGTGTGGCGCAAACGGTGGGGGTATGGAGAAAGGTCGATGTTGCTCGATCCTAGATAGCGTTTTTTCATACCATGGACATGTACAATTACCATGGTATATTTATTGTATACCTTGGTATATGCATAGTATAGCTAGGTACATGGAACATCATATAGTATACCTTTATATATCACAGAAAATTGGAGAGATTTTGAAAATTGTATAATTTTAGATATATGTGAAAATATTTCAGCACTGTAAAGTGAAAGGTGCATGAGCGGCGGCGGCAGTATATTAACCCAATTAAACCTAACTATGACGGGTATATCTTTGACCACAGAGAGCCCCTTTTCCTTGACTAACGTATATATTAAAATAGTAGATCAGCGTTTTACCCTTACATAGATGGGGAGGTGATGTGTAACCATACTCATCATAAGNTCATGAGCGGCGGCGGCAGTATATTAACCCAATTAAACCTAACTATGACGGGTATATCTTTGACCATAGAGAGCCCCTTTTCCTTGACTAACGTATATATTAAAATAGTAGATCAGCGTTTTACCCCTACATAGATGGGGAGGTGATGTGTAACCATACTCATCATAAGGTGATCATTATTATGATATTAAAGTGAAATTACTTAAGTGGCGAAGGAAAGGGTTAGTATACGGGGATACGTTAAAATAGTTAAAATTAACTATGGTTAAAATAAAAACGTCTATACATTTGTCGGTTAAATAACAAGGCATTTGTATGATGGATTTGTACCGCACATACTTATGCAGTATTTATTATCACATGTAAAAATTTTTAATTTCATGATGTAAAATAGAATATGAATATGAAAAAACTATATATAAATATTGTTCCTGTACTTCACCCTTTAACATTCATAACACTAGAAACAATTGCTAATTATGTTTATATTTTAACCATAGTTAATTTTAATTTTTAATATCTTTATAATAATTTTATTACAGTGATTGATATATCAAAGCAGACCGACACAATTACAGTTCCGTATTTTGACTTACGTATTAAATTGAAGCATCAGCTACGTTCCCCGCTAATACATCTGCATATGCTCTAATAATTTCAGACAATGTAATTACTTATAAACTTTTTGACGGAATCACCGGTATATTATAACACTTTTTACTTATTTATGTAAACATTTATAATAAACCTTGCAATTATTATTATTATTATAGTTCTTATTATTATGAAATAAATATATTGTACACAAATAACAACAATTTAATTTTCATTTTAGATAATAAGTTTATTATAGCAAACTAATACAACTACAATATTTAAAGTTAATGTTCATAAATTATTAATGTAGGTTAATTTTCTAACGTGATTGGGTTTTGGCCACTGTGTTGCACATGGACTATAACTATTTTCTTGGATAAACACTACTGTATTAAAAAATGCAGGGCCGTCATTTTCCTCGTACATTTCTTCTTCTTTTTCCTAAAACATAATTATAAATTTAATAAAAATGAAGATTATGACAATCTATCTTCATTATACTCACATTAATTTGTAGCGTACCCTCGGACTTAACCCAACGATCGACTATTTCATTGTATGCTAAATTCTTCAGTTCGCTTATGTAATTACTGTCACATTTAGGAATAGTATCGCATATTTTTTTGTCATTCAAACGTCTTATAAAATTAACCATTTTATCAATGTTTGATTGTTTAATTTTAGAACCTGATCATTTACCGTCGACGTATTGTATGATGCGGTCTATTTGATGGAATAATAGTAAAAGTGTTTTTATTTTTCTTGATACTGCACTGTTATAAGTGAAATGTAGGTCCATAAGACTATTAATGTTTTCGTTATTCAATAACCATTCGACACCCATCTACCATCATGGATTTAATGCAAAATGAATGGTATGACGGTACAATACTTTGGATTCATTAAAATCAACATTTTGGTATAACACAATGTTTGGTATAACCCAACCGGAAGTGATTGTAGAAATAATGTTATTTCATCCATCATGCCATGAATAATATTTAAAAAATCTGCTGACATTCTAATATGTCGTGAAGGAGTAATAATGCATACCGTTACATTGAAGTCCTCCTTTGGATTCAGACCCACTTGTAAAAATGTTCAGTCGCTGAACGCAATAGTGTAACTGTTAGAATCAATCATATCGGCTGGAGGTGTTGGTGCGATATACTTGTAACGCTATTTTCTTATAGGTTTGGCAGACATATTGTTCATAGAGTAGAGTCTTCTTCTTAGAACTGATGGTTCTTAATGATACTGTGACTTCATCAATGATTTCACGCTCATTTATGCAGAAAAATCGCATATTTTCATAGGCGTCAGCAAATCTCAAGACACATATCTCCGTATACTAACCCTTTCCTTCGCCACTTAAGTAATTTCACTTTAATATCATAATAATTAATATTAAGTTCACGATTTCTATATTTGTATACAAATATATGTAATAGACTATGTGTATACATATGTTTTATACAATAACGTTTACAGATTAACAAATTATGTCCATTAACAAACGCGGTAGTGTGACTTAATAATCAAAAAGAATTTGATAAAATATTATGGTTACTTCAAACGTATAAATATTTTCCCTTTAATTACAAAATAACTGAAAACTTATGGCATAGTAAAATATTGTACATATTTATTATAAGTATTTTCACTTTAATATCAATATAATACTTTAATACTTTAATATTTAAATTTCTTTAACCATAATGAAAGATTTTTGTTAGAATTCGAAAAAAATAAAAACTACATAACAATCGAAAATGTTATGAACTATGGCAAGGCACTTAAAATACACATCAATGTAATTATGATATTTTTGGATGATTTGAAAAACAATTATACAATTATTTTTCCTTGTAGTTTGATCACGGTAAATATGTACTTAAATAACATTTCTGGCTCTTTAAATATGATTGCTCAAAACGAAGATGGTGGAAAAAATGATGCTGAAAAATTATTAGAAGGCTATAAGATTATTCATTTTGCAGTTAAAGAACAATTAACAAATTATATAAATGAATCTTGTAAACACATACCGTTTAGTAATAATTTGGTTAGTTGCAGTCCATCAATAGGTGAAAACGGATATACTACTACTAATTTAATAAAATTAAATAATAATCTTAAAGATAAAATTACGATTAAGTTTAATTACATAATTGAAAAGAATAAATACGAACATTATCATCCGAAAATTTTTTTATGTAAAAAACTTAAAAACTAAATAAAACTATAGATATTCCGGTGGTGGTATAGCATAATGTCCGTGAGCCAACGTGTCGATTCTGTTGTCGAGCGTGTAGCGCTTATCCTCGAAACGGTTAAACGCCAGCTTGGTTGTACATTAGGGTGGAACGAAATATTGAAAATGTTGATAATTGAATTCTAATAGAAAAAAAAAGTTGCAGTTTAGTCTCCTGATTATGGGAGATAAAAAAAAAAAAATTTTTTTTATATCTTCAGGTGCCGCAAGAGGGTTGAAAATTTGACTGTGAGGGTAATTTTTTCGTTTTTGTCACTTATCTTTTAATCTATTCTATTCACAGGAAAAATTATAGAATTAAACTTGTAGAACTAAATGTTTACCATAAAAAATGTTATTAGCAAAAAAGCCGTATATATAATACTTAGTCATTAAAATTAAAAAACAACATATTTTTATCTTTACCGTTGAAATTGTTTTTATTAGTTTATTTAAATATTGCAGACGAAATATTCAACATACAATAAAAATGTTCGTATAAAAATTGTTTAGAATTTAATTGTTTATAATTTTTGTTGTGTGTATCATATTTTTTACCAAACGTAGTTGTTATAATCGAGTAATAGGGTGGATTGAATAACTAAATTTTGATTTTTAACTTTCTAATAGTTGGGGAAATATGTATTTTAGTTCCTATATATCACTTATAAAATTTCACTAGTCTAGTTTAAAATTAAGAAGTGCCGTAAGGCATTTGAAATATAGTAATATTGTTTTCTTATGATTACTCGGTTTTTCTATTTAAGCCCTATCTTATATTAATAAGTTTATGATATGATAATATTTCATTGTCATTTGAATAAACGAATTTACTTTTGCATTTAATATCACTGTGCATTCGTACGGAGTCGTGTTTAGTTAATTTTATGCGCAACGTGTGTTAAATATTTGTTAAAAATGGCTGGTGTATTGACAAGAAATAAATCAAAATGTTTAATTTTTGGAGATGCTAAAGAACTTAGTAATAATGTATTACCAACTTATGAAGACGTTATGCAATATTATTTATATGTAAAACATCAACTTAAACCCGATATTACTTCAAAAGAGCCAAGTGTAAGCTCTATAGCTGAAATTGTAGCAACTAATATAGAAAATATATGGCACAAAGCATCAATTCCAATAGTATCACACACGCGAGTATTACAATTAATTAAAACGTACCATGACAAGTATCGGAATATACTAAAGTCAGCGAAGGGCAGGGGATATTGTGAGACGTATAAAAAAAAA